AAATGGTGATTACGCTTCACTGCTTAGGTGTAACGGTCGTGATAAATAGTAAAAATAGTACATAGTTTACACACTTATTGAAAGATTATATTATTCGAATTATTCGGGAATTAATTTTTTAATTTTTTATGATTATATATTCGGAAATTACTTTTCTAATTTTTATGATTATATCACAGCATGAATTAATCGATTCTACCTCCAATTGCTTTTATTTTATTACGTCAAAAACTTATAATATACTGTAGATATTTTTATCATTTAAAAATTGATATTCGTTAATTTATACCTTCGGTTATGGTTATATATTAATAAAAATTCTATATTTAACTAAATAATTTAATACGCAGGCTAAAAAAATCACTATTGGTAGGAAAAATAATCGTACGATATTTTAATATAACATTCATAACATAGAATCGTTATCATGATTATTAATATATTTATATATATATATATATATTGATGCACGAAAATACAAAAATTTTCATATTTTTATTAATTGTAACAGAAATTTCTTATGTCTGCACTACCTACAGTAATAATTTTCTCTCAATGACCGACACGCGTTATTAACTTTAAGAAAGACCGCGCGCGAGTAAATGGGGATGATTTTTATAAATGGCTCTAATATTTGGTTTATTTTTAAATATTCATATTTGTGCGCGTTTATTAATAGTGACTTATAAATGTATTATTAGTATTTGAAGTGAAAAAATAATGAATAATAATAGACAATAATCTCTTTAAACCGATTATTTTAATAAATATATTGTTAATAAAATTTTTCTTATAAAAACCTGAAAATCTCCTTAATTTTTAAGTCATTCATATTAAAAAAATAAAAAAAAAATTATTTAATAATTTATTCTTTATTCCGCGTGGTAGTAATAAGTTTTGTAAGGAATTTTACACAAAAAAATTCATAAAACAATTCATCCCAATGTCATCAAATAATTTCAATTCTGAACAACAAAGAACACGCGAAAGTTCAAGATTGAATATTATGAATATTGCAAATAATGCAAATAATAATAATCAAACCCGCCACCGTATTTGTTTGATTAATAATAATGCTACTATCGACAGAATCGCTCGGATCACAACACCTCAAATTACAAGTAATCCTTTTGAAAATGATTTCTTTAACGGAGCGAGTTTTCATTATGACAATCGTCTCGAATCTTTAATTTTACCTACTGGATTCTTTTCTTAAGAATAGCGATTTATTATCGTTCGACGATCGTTTTATTTTAATTTTTGATTATTTTTAACGAAAAGGAAAGGTTTATATAACAGATAATCACAAACACTTTAAGATTAATAAGGATTAATATTTGTAAATGATTTTTATGTAATACAGATTTATTATCGTTCGACAATCGTTTTATTTTAAATTTAATTTGCCGTATTTTTTGATTATCTTTAACGAAATAAAGGTTTATATAATTACAAATACATTAAGATTAATACCAAAAAAATTTTTTTAAGCAATAAGTAATTTATTTATGGTGGTAATTTATTATTATTAGATATTAGAAATTAGTTTTTGCGTATGTTTTTTAAATTTTCCAGAAATTTCAATATGATGCAAATGTAAAATATGTTAAATATAACATGAAGACTTAATCTTACAGAAGATTATTAGTTCTTATAATAATTAGATTAGTTGTGTTCTAAAATATTTTATCATTTGTATTTTTTTTAAAACTTTAAGTTATAATATATTATAATATTATTAATTTTTATTCTCATTATAAGGATTCATTTGCCTTTCTATACATGCATTATACAAATATAATGTCATCTCAATATCTTTAATAATCATATGTTTAATATTCTATGCGAGATAGAAACTAATAGTTTACGTCATAGTTACGGAGATCAATGATTTCATGGCTGCGCCGTGAAAATCATGATATTCCCAGTGACTCGTGAAATAACTGATTTATCACGGTATCCGTACCATAAAGCCCCTTTAATATGACTAATAATGATATTCCAATATATATTGATAGACTTTTTATCCATCTTTTTAAATAAACCCCACCGTGAGAATATCAAGAAAAAAAATCACGGATAAAATAATTATATTACAATACAGTACATGTAACTCCTGCTTAAGATATTTCCGAACGTGAATTTTTAACAGCCACCTACAATGTCACGTTTTCATTCAAATTTCATATCTACACCAAATTTTTTAAATAATTTAACTACTAAAGATAATTTTCAATGTTTTCAATTCATTATTTATATAGTTTTGAGAGTTAGATAAGTTACGGCATGATTTACCCATTTGCCTGACAAGGAGCGAGTATGTCAATTTACGGAAAAACATGGAATATAAATCGATCTTTTTATTGATTTTTAGTAACATTCGATCGTTCCTGAAAACGGAGATCTCGAGTTAGGATTCAACTCGAGTCAAAGCCACCAAAATTAATTGTAATTTTGGCCGACATTGGATTTTCTTTATTAGCTTGGAGAAAAAGAATGCGTATAATGTGTCTACTAACTTTAATTATCCAAAGGACGTTTGCATGAAAGATTATTTAGCGTACTGCATTAGTAAAATTTGTTTTCACAAACTTTCCCTTTTAATACGAGCCCCTGAAATATATTAATGTTAGTTGTACCCATGTCATGTCATTACACAATACCAAAAAAGTAACGTCCGAAGGACTTGAGCGGTTTTCGTTTTCCTAGTTTAATTTGACCCTGTAAAAAAAGTCGATCCGTTTTTTATATTTCGTCTTTTTTCCGTAAAAGGCTCATATTTCCGGAATTAATAGCCTTATATCACAGAATTTATCAAATTATTCGCATTTTTCGTGAATGGATCCGTGAAAGGCTCATTTTTACGGAGTTTTTACAGAAATAACGGATAAAATTTTTTATAGGTCATACTAACCAAGAATTCAATATTTATATATACTTAAGATTACGCTTCCTCCAGGAAAATATTATTGAAAAAAAGGTAATTATAAAATACTGTAAGTAAATAAAATGACGTAAAAATGATAGACGTAAAAAAAAATGGATTTACTATGAAATTACTATGAAAATAAAATTAGTAAAGTGTAAAATGTTGCATAATAATTATCATATACTTATATTTTTATTTTAATAATTTTTTTTTTTTAAAAGAAAAAAAATTCTTTTATTTTTTTTTATATTAAGGTAGGTCCTGTAAAAAATTTTATCCGTAATTTCTGTAAAACTCCGTGAATTTGATACATTAATGGAAAAATAACTAAAAAATCTAAGCAACTTGGATAATTTCCATGTTTGAGGCGTTTGAGGCTAAATATGATACATTTACGGAAATAATATGAAATATAAAACACGGAATAAATTTTTTATAGGGAGAACTTACCGATAGCAAAATTAATGAATACTGACCACAAGAGTTTTGTAGATCGTCAGACAGGCTTGGCGGAGTTTAAAAATTCAGGAAGCGTGAACGAAAAAAAAAATGGAATATAAATCGATCTTTTATTGATTTTAGTAATGTTCACTTCAGACCGCATGTATGAAAGGGGAGATATTTAGTTGTTGAATCATGAATTCATAGTATTATTGATTACTGGACTAAAAATGAAGATTTACAATATAACTTCAATTATTATAATTATTATAATTTCAAACGAATGACATACTACTGTATTATCTATTTTTTCTTATCTAGATGATATATTTTTCTCAAGCTAAAATAATTTCATCATCTATGAATTAATATAATTTGTTAAGTAATTTCAAAATATACTGTTTCGAATATAGTAGTTATCATGATTTAATGAACTAACAAGATAGGAAATATCCGGTTAAAATGATTTTTTTTTATAATTTGCCGAACATATTCTAAAATTTTCTGTTATTGAAAAAATACATATATACTATTTTATTTAATATATATCGAACGCGTAATAAATTTATTTAAAAGGGACGCTAATAAAGGAAATTCATATAGAATATAGACTTGTATCTAAAAAAATTATAGCCGATACAAATTCAATAAATACTCTTTTGAGAACTTCATTAAGTAAGCACTTTAGAAATTCTATCTAAAAACATATGAAATCGGTAATCAAAATAATCCAGAAAAGCAGATCACTTAGTAATAAAAATCCGCAAAATGATTGATGGGGATTTATTATTCGTGCGTCAATAAAATTGAATTTAAATAATAGCCAAAAACAGATTAATTCAAACTGATTACGCGTAGTTGTTGAGCCAATAATTTCTTAATCTATTGCTTGATTAAGTTTTATCACGCGTATCAGTTAGAAAGGGTATGTCACATAAAGGAGGTAGGCGTTTTTTTTTCAACACAATAAGCCTATTGCTAATGTAATACACATATATTATATTTCGCGTATCATGATTTAAAGTCAGCCTTCATTTATAAGCATTATAAACAAAGAAAATACTTTCGTTACTGCTACTTTAGTTTAAAATAGGAAATGAAACAAAGAAAATCTTTTTATGGGGGTTAAACAATATATTAGTAATTTATATTACGATTTTTTTATTAGAATTCAAATAATAATTATGGAAGTAAATATGGTAGTATATACAATCACATCTAACGTTTATTAACAAGGTGGACACAATGTACTACAAACTACAATGCAGGAGATTTTATTTTAAAACTTCACGCAAACAAAATAAACGAAGATGATTTTGTATGTTTATACAAAGGAGGTCAATTTCAAATAAAGAATTGTTTATACAGTGTATTTTGATATATACTAAACCTTTTTTGTCACATAATAGAGTTTTTTAGATTTCTGAATCGAAATATATTATATGTTTTGTTTCATTAATTTGGATATATTAAATTGCCGGTAAACCCTTTTTTTGTTTATTTCAATTGCCATTTTTGTCAAAAAGGCCCGGTGGCTAATCACGTGATTGGTGTAACCAATCACGTGAATTTTTATTATTTAAAGCTACGTCTAAAAAAAATAAAAAACGTGTCATCCTTTTTTTATTTCGTACAAAAAAAAAAACCTTCATTCATTTCATTTATTTCTTTTACGATGTCATCAAGAAATTATGGATCAAGAACAGGCAGAGCGCCGTATGTTCAAAAAATTAAACTATGCAACAACAATAACAAAATTACTACGAGAAAGCCAACAAAGTTATGTTCTAAATGCAGAGAGGCGAAAGATTGTGTTAGCTTATTTTCAAGTAAAGTAAATCGGATTGAAGAGATCGTTAATAATTGTCATAAACATTCGAAAAAGAAGATCGAACAAATTTCCAAATTCAACACTAAATTTTCATTAAATAACGTACCTTGTGAATTGGAATATGATTTATCAAATTTCACGTTAGAAAATTTGCAAAAATTGGCGATTTTCACAACTCAAAATTGCGGTAATAATAATAGTTATAATGATAAAGATAAACATCCCTATTAAATAAACTCAAAATTGCTGTAAGATAATGTTTGACAATCACTCCTTTTACTCATAATTAATAATATTACCATCATCATTTTCTATTATCATTCTATTTGTCTAACAAGTTACAGTTTTTTATTATGATTTATATTATTCAATTTCAAAAATATCATTAAGATAATTTGTATTTTGTTATTGTTCATTTTTATGTTATAATTTATAATTTATATAAATTTAGTATAACAATTATGATAAACGATTTTAATTTCGCTGTCGTGCCAATTGACTTTTTTTTTTTTTTTGTGTACTTTTTCAGATTAAGATTTTGCATAAGTTTCGGATGATAAATTTCTAACCCTAAAAGTTCTTTTATTATAACTTCTCTACATAAAAACGCCTATTTAACTGTGTCTAATATTAAAAAGAAAATACGATATTGCTTGCCCAGCCCATACAAAGGGGCTGAAGTTACACAGCCACTTGTTTACTTGGCTTTTTCTTAGAAAACTCTATATCAAAATTGAACCTATCGTTTAATCGTAAATTTTAGTACTAGAAATAATCGGTCTACTTAATTTTCCTTAAGTAATCAGAAAATTTGACTATAGAAAATTTCATACCAAAATAATTTATCTGTTCTCCAAAATTAAAGATTAGCATGTGATTATTATATAAAGGTGGGGTGTTTGCTGTCATTGTGCCACGCAGTGGCACATGACAACAATCAACAAATTTTCCACCCCAATATTCATCACTGGCATCACACCCCATCGCGTTTTCACTGTTTATATTTATCTGAGGGACAGTTTTTTTTTGCCTCACAAAATTATTTTTTTCACATCCTTTAAATGTCACCGGTCACGTGGGGGTGGAATTTTAATAATAAAATTGTTGGTGTTATAACGGGACATCATTAAAAGAGAGTGTAATCACGTGAGTTTTAATTGACTATCATGGCGCAAAAAATTTTTTGTGCTATTCAGTACGTCCGTGTCTAATAAAACATGTAAATTACTAAATTTTTTAAAAAATATATTAAGTGAAAGTTTAGGAATCTCTCTACTGGAAACATAATATTATCTTTTTAACAAAAGGCATTTTATCATTTATTAATTTATTTCTATAGGTATGTTTTCACATGTCTTTACAAAAATAATAACAAAATAATACATAATTATTCAAACTAAAGTACTTTGTTCTTGGGAAAATCACGTGACTACATGCTCCCCTTAAATAATCAATTTTGGCATGTTACAATAGCATAGCGGACATGCTCATATCACCTTGCCGATCATTTGCTGATCACTAATTCCGGATTTTAAAAACTTATTGCAAAATCACAAATATTTTTCAAATTTTGTGGCAAAAAAATAATGGAAATCTAAGTAAAAACACTAAATTATCATATGACTTTAATTATGTAATTATTAGACAATTTTTAATAATATCATAAAAATATTATTTGTATATGGTAATTCACTAATTATTGCCGATCATCAGACAAAAATTGAAGTGCGAAGATGAATATGTGAGTGCGAAACTTAAGAATTTGCACAAATATTCTTTATATTATGTAGAATCTATAAAAAAAATAATGCAGTGATCTGATTCATAATGCAGGTTTTTTATTAGTAACATAATTAGTGAATAATTTCGTAAAATGAATAAATATATGCCAAATACTAATAAAATCTAATGAAATTTAATACACAATAAATTAAAACTAAATTTAAGTTATTTGTGAAATTTGAACATATTAATTATTATGTAAATTTTTTTAGCAACGGTATTTATATTATGTGATAATTGAAAAATGATCGGCAAATGATCGACAAATGATCAGTCAGTATTGTGATAAAATAGGGATGTCCGCTATGCTTGTTACAATCAGCAATGTTACATGCAATTGTCATGTATATATCACATTATGTGGCGCAATTTGTAAAATATGTATGCCATTTTAATTATGCCCAAAATTCTACCCTAATTCTGGTAAGGCGACAATCACCAGCGGTGATATTTAGCAATACTCAATTTTAAATGCTGTTTTTGACTCAACATGTAAGTAATTGATTTTTATTGTAGTGTAAGATAAGTTGATCATCAAATGACAAATGAATTTAATAAGTTATACGGAGAATGTGAAATTAATGATTTTTTTTTTTTAAAGAAATAGGCATAAAATTTGAGAAATCGCTTGATTATTATTAATGACACTATAATTAATCAAATCGGGCGTTCTCAGACGTTTATACATGACGAAAATTTTACATAATGGTACATTTCCAGACGTTTATTGTGCATAAACACACGCAAAAACTCACTATTATGTAATTTCAATATTCTTCACTTGTTTATAATTTATTTTTTTACCAACTTTATGATTAATATTCAAAGTTGAGAAAGAGAAGAAGAAATCCAGTTGTACATAAATATGAATATAATGAATATAATATGAATATTGTATTACTAACACACACACACATATTTTATATTAATTTAAATAATCAAAAAAAAAAAAAATATTCAATTAAAATTCCATTAAACCGGACAAATATTAAAATTTTCCAATTGAAATTTTACAGACGTGATTGCAATCAATCAATAGTATTGTTGTGCCGTTGGTAGAAGATAATTATCATAAAGAGACGAATATATAGGAATATACCGTTTTTTATTTGGATAACAAAAACTGGTAAAACCGATAATTTAGCACAAAATAACCGATTTTGGTCTATAAGTTTGCTTTCTATTAGGATGGTATAGGGTGAGATTAAATATTAGTCAATACGTTAATTATTTATGTTAAAATTAGGCATGATATTGAGTGGCGTGACCCTCCCATCCAATAACTATAATTTTGATTGGCCCAATTACTTGGAATTACTATTAAGTGATTTTGATGGAATTTATTTGGTTACAGGTATATGATAAATTATAACAAGGGTAAATTTAAAGTGACCTCTTATAAGTTACGCTTAAATCTCAATATATTTTTGATATTTTGCATCATAACTTTAAAAGTTACGTAATTACTGTATAATCGGAAATAAACAAAATTAAGGGTTGTTCCATTTATTTTAGCTATTTTAACTGTTGGTATGTGTTTATTTTATTGTAGTAAATTCATCTTTTTTTAAAAAAAAAATTCCAATCGCACATAAATTAAAATGATAATTATTACAAGAGCATAGTGGACATCTCTAAATTATCGCATTATTGTGCCCGATCATTTATCGATCATTTATTCAATCTTATACTCTTTGATTGAAAATTATACATAATAATATACGCAACTAACTTAATTGCCAATCCGCCATTCAACGATACAAAATTGATTAGTAGATCCGTCGCAAGTTCTTATATGAATGACATCGATCGGCACATTTCAACTCCGATTTTGTCCTACATAAGTCATGCTTAATGTAACCATACTTTACCAATCAATAATGCAAAACGTGAATATGTCACAAAAAAAAAAAAAAAATTTTTTTTCGTTTGCTATAAAATTTAAAGAGTTTACTTTGGAGGAAGTCACCATTCCAGCTCATATTTTAGGTAACTTTACACCAATTATTCGCGAATTTTGCAAATTTTACAAGGTTTTTTTGTATTATTATATAATATATGGTATATTCTTGCTTAGATTAACAAAATAATGTTTAAAAAAAAATAAAATAAAATAAATTTTTTTTTTTTTTTGGCAATGTTCTAGTTTTACCAGTTTTATAAAACTATACCTAAGTAATGTAACACCTTTTTTTAATGTATTTTTAGGGCATTTATATTACAACAAAACGTTTTCAAACTTGTGCAAACACCATTCAGAAGCAATAGTATTTAATATAAAAATGTCCGACGAGATTAATTATAGATTGCCGATCATTTTGTATCGCTGAGTGGCGAATCGGCAATTAATTTTACTAGTAGCAACTTTTTAAATTTTAATAATAATGTTGTTATATTAAGTCATTTGAAAAATTCTACATAATAATATATGCTTAAATTTTACAAACAAATTTATATTAGTTTAAATTTACTGTGTATTAAATTTTATTAAAATCGCATTATTATTGGAGAATTTTTAAAAAATTGACCATACAGTAATTGGCACATATAAAACTTTTGGTTTCAAGCAAATTGATATGGTTTCATTTACCATATATTCCCAAATAGTAGATGTATGTATGATAAAATTTTCAGAGTTCGCCCGAACATCTGTGGCTTCGCCCGAAGCTTTAAAGTCAAATTATCATATGATCTGCAAATGGTCGGCATTAAGATAATTACTGAAAATTTCGGCCCAAAGCTAACTTTTGTGTTACCCCGATTTTCACTATATTATTTTTACATTATATTTCTAGTTATGTATCTCGAACTATTAAATAAATAGTCAGTATAAAATTTATGGATTCGCCTAAGGTTTTAAAATGTGAATTAAATATTGTGTTAATACTGTATTTTGCGGTATATAAGCACCCCTTTTTGCACTTAATGCCGGCCAAGATCCTCATAATTCCGGCCAAAACGGTATGATCTGTAAATGATCGACATTGTGACATGTCCGCTAAGATATATATTTACAGTATATATTTGTAGCCAAACGCCAAAACTTAAAAATTTAAGGGGTTTAGATTACGGCATATAAACATTACCATTTAGCTTTCAATACGAAGATATTTTAAGTAAGGACTTCCAACCTTTTCATACTGCAATAAGAAACTACAATTACAAATCAAAAAAAAAAAAAGGGATCACCCGATCAAATCAGGTGTCCTTTTATCGCCACATTTAAAACTAAATTTGACTCAAAAAAACCAATTTTACAACCAAAAAACCTTCTCCCTAATAATAAAATGGATTCCTTGTTAAACAAATTAAATTTTAAATTCTTCAAAAAAGATTAATAAAGTTATTGATTTGTAATCATGTAATCTTTCTCTGGATTATAAAGGTTAGGTAAATGTTACCAATATTGAAAAGTAATCATAACCATTGCTGTTTGAAAATATGAAATCAAAAATGTTGTTTTGGAGATCAAAACTAGGGGGCGAACAATAAAAAAAAATCTAGTGTTCCTTGTGTTCAAGATAGCGGAATGGTTGAATCTGACACTTGCGCTGCAGTTCGCGCCAAAATGCATGTAAAGGGTACACAAATGATCAAATGATGTAATGCATTTTTTTGTTTTTTCCCCCCGTAATTCTCTTTATTAGTATTGGTAATTATGCATTTTCTAAAAAAAAAAGCCTAATAAACGGATCGTCATTTAGAAATCCAATTATCTACTATTACTATCGGTAAATTTAAAAATATCAAAATCACGTGATCTGTGCTTGCGCCTCAACAATCTCTTTTTTCTTTTTTTTCTTATTAAATTGTTCTTTAAAAATTTATTAAGCAAAAAAAAAATTAAATATTGTAGGGAATATTTTATGAAGTTGTAAATAATAATTTTAGCATTTTTACAAATTTTATAATATTAATTCTACATTTCTACATCCCTGTAAAAGAAGTCAATCCATGTTTTATATTCCATCTTTTTTCTGTAGAAGGCTCATATTTCCGGAATTAATAACCTAATATCACGGAATTTATCGAATCATTTACATTTTCCGTGAATGGATCCGTGAAAGGCTCATTTTTACGGAGTTTTTACAGAAATAGTGGATAAAATTTTTTCATAGGGCATGAATGACCAATTAGAGTAGTATGGAAACACTAATTTGCTATTAAAATTGTAGAGATAGATATTTTTTAAAAGAAATTACTTCTGATGCATTTGTTCTTAAGTTTATAGCGTGATTTCAGGACTTTGACTAAATAAAATTGATGTAGGAAGCTTAAGTAACTTTTGGAGATCAACTGAAGCCCAAGTCATTCAGTAGGTGTAGGACTACATAGATGTTAATTTTGTAAGCTAGAATGAAATATTTTGGAATAATTAGTACAATAGTGTATTTGAAAATTACTTCTTAAAATAATGTTAGTTTATTTGTCATTAATTAAGTGTAAAGAGTTATTTTTTAGATGTGTTTACTACAAAGTAAATAAATAATTATTCTATACATGTTCATGAAAACATATCAAACCTTTCTTTTTTTTTTTCTTTAAGTTGTCTTATAAATCAAAATTTGTGAGGTCACATAAATCACGTGCGAGCAAATTGATGAACATAACTCTATATTTGAATTTGTATTGCATAGATACGAACTTAAAACCATGCTTTAAAAGAATGTTTTATTACATTCTTCATTACAATTAAATTGCGATTAATCCAACTTTACACAATTTCACTCTCAATTGAACTTTAATATTTAATATTTATTTAAATATCTCAAAATAGATAAAAATTTTAATATAATAGCCATAACCAACATTATTGAATATATCAGCCCTATAAAAAATATGTATACGGAAAGGATACGTTTTGTATACATTTTATGTACGTTTCTATAGATTCCGTATACAAATTCCGTATATTTAATAAGTAATTCATTTTTGAACATTTTTTTTAAAAAACTAATGTATAAGAAATGTATACGGAAAAAATTAATCATGCGGAATGTATACGGAATTTTTAAACTTAATATTTTTAGAAGATAATTTTACAAAAATTCCGTATCATAACACGAGATCACATGATTTTTTATTGTTTTGTTATGATACGTTTTTTGTTTTTTATATAAACCCTTACTTTGATGAGTTTGATCTTCCGATCTTCCTTTCTGTCTTTCCTTTCCTTTCTCTTTCTCTTGTCTTATTTTTGTTATTTTTTCTAA